TTTAATATCTGGTAGCCACAATCAATAACATTACCTTCGATCATCCATCGGTTGGGTGCAACCGATGATCGATGATGAAATTCCAACCCATTATCATCACTAATGAGAGTATGACTAGTAGACTCCCTGGCAGAACAAATTTGGTTTTAGATTATCTGAGATACATTCTGAGGTTTGCTACTTTGGTAATAAGTTTTATCTGAGTCTCTGAGATCAACATTAGGAAGCCTGTTGAAATTTAGCAATGAACATCTTATTTATTAAACAGTCCCCAACTCAATAAGTAATATGAAAACGGGAAGTGAACTTTAATGCCAATGGGGTAACATTTATTTATGGTAACTCTCTAAATCTTTAATTATGAAGTTTCCCATATTCAGTATGTCATCAGTCCTTATTTTTCAATCGGTCATGGTGAGCCCAAGGACTTCATTGACCCTGTCTTCCAGTTGCTCCAACTCCTTAGCAGGAACATGATCTTAATCCTGCTCTTCATCAAGATCACCAGCACAGTGTTCGAAATAAGGAAAAAAATTTGCTTGTCCGACGGACAAGCTACAATATATTTTTGCTTGTCCTGCAAAATATTTGCTTGTCCTGATTAATAACATAGAAATATAGTAAATGTGTAATACATTTAATAAAATTAAATTTTAGACCCAATATCTTACTTTGTAATGTTAATACAGTTCACTAACAGTTCAAATTAGGTACCAAACTTGAAAGAACATAATGAAGCACAATTGTTTATTTGAAGTTATTACTTGTCTTAACAAAGTTGAAGCGATGGTAGAAAATTATGAAAAATTGCTCTAAAAAGCTGCTTCTGCAGCGGACAAGTCTACTTGTCCTCCGTGAAAATAGACAAGTGAGGACAAACGGATAGCCCTTATTTCGAACACTGCAGCATCCTCCGACGCAGTTGGTCTTTTGGCGTTAGTGCCTGCCAATAGTTGTCATTGTGACTTTGTGATAAGATTAGATTTTGCTATTTTGTAATGTTTTCACACACAACATTTATAGTTTAAATATCAGATGGGATCAGTTGCAGAAGAAGTAGATATGGATTAAATATTACTGGCACTCAGCAGCAGGGCTGGTCAGCCAAGACCAGCTACTACTACTAGCCCTTACCTAGCCTTGTATGTTCAATTACTAAAAATAACATTGTTTAAGCAGCTGTGTAATTGTTTATTGATCATTTATGAATGGTTATATTTTATTTATGGACCGACCTTCCTATGAGCCGACTCTTTATTCTTATGGGCTGACTGTATGTGCCGACATTGCCCCGACAACATCTTAGACTGGGTCGGAGATGCCAACCACTACGATTTATCCGTATTTTATACGAATTTCTATTCCTTTTGCACCACTACGACCAGTTTGTATCAAACTACAAATTTCACTGTGATAAAAAATTTTGTTTTGTAAATTTATTGTCATTTTTGACCCTCAGAAGGCAGGAAATTGCATCTCAGAATCAAAATATTTTCCGGGGGGGCATGCCGGACCTCCCTAGCAAACTCGGGTCACTACGTGACCCTCGATCTACTAATTTGATGGCCAGAAACTACAGATTGCTTCAAATATGTGTTGGCATCTCTGCTGCAGGGTCACGAGACTGGCATGGACATAACAGGGCATTTGCATAAAATATTGTACGATGGTTTTTGTTGAAAATTTTAGCAAAAAAGAAGAAAGAGTGCAATGTGCATTTCCATTATGTAATTAGAGTTGATAAGAAAACGGCAGTTACATTGCATAATTTCATGTTTTGTACATTGTTTCAAGAACGCATTTCTTTCATAACCTGTGGGATTGCTGCATGCATATAATTTGAGACAGCTCTAGATTTACCTTTTGTTTGCAGGTATAAAGGTTCAAACAGAGCAATCTGAAACTTGTTATGGAGGGAGGCACACTGCGGTGTGTGCGTGCGTGCGTGTGTGTGTGTGCACTTGTGCATTTCTGTCCCGTATAATTGTAATCATTAGTCATATTGTTTACAAAGCATGAAATGTGTCACAATTGTGCTACAAATTTAATCCGTGACAAAAGTGGTATCCCTCGAAAGAGTACGTAAATTTGTGTGGTATGCGAAATCGTGCTTCGACCACAACATTAGCGCTGTATCATGTTTGCCGTCTGATAACACTATGTTTTTCGTAGGTTTACTTGTGCAAAGTAACGTGAAGACACTCGTTCGGACTCGTTGCGAAAAGACGGTCGACGTGCAACTCTGCCTGCCCTGAATGAGGTAACCTGATGGACAACAACATGGAAGAGCGAGCGGGAGAAAGACCTTATGTATGCAATCTGTGTGATGCTGCTTTCTCTCACAGCACCGGCTTCAGAGAGCACATGATACATCACGCCGACGAGAAACCGTATAAGTGCGGCCGGTGCGACGCGTCGTTCTCTCAGCGACGCAATTGGAAGATACACAAGAGAACTCACACAGGAGAGAAGCCGTACCAGTGCAACGAGTGCGACATATCGTTTTCCCAGCGACGCAACCTGAAGACGCACTTAAGAACTCACACCGGAGAGAAACCATACACATGCAGTGTGTGTAACGCAGGGTTTTCGCAGGGGCGGAATTTGAAGACACACATGAGAATACACACAGGAGAAAAACCATTTAAATGCGATCTATGTGAAGAAGCTTTCTCTGATAAAGGTTTTTTTAAATCACACATGAGAACACACACAGATGAAAAACCGTATAAATGCGATATATGTGAGATGACTTTTTCTGATAAAAGTAACTTTAAGACCCACATGAGAACACACACAGATGAGAAATTGCATAAATGTGATGTATGTGAAGCCACTTTCTCTGATGGAAGTGAGCTTAAGACACACATGACTTCTCACACAGGAGAGAAACCATATAAATGCGATCTATGCGAGAAAACTTTCTTTGATAGCAGTAATCTTAAGACTCACATGATAACTCACACAGGAGAAAACCCGCATAGAAGTGATCAAAGCGAGGCAACTTTCTCTGATAAAAGTAACCGTGAGATACAGATGGTATCTCACACAGAAGAAAAACTCTACAGATGCGATCTTTGTAATTCGGCCTTTTCTCAGAAACGCAATTTAAAGACACACATGTTAACTCACTCGGGGGAAAAACCGTTCAGATGTGATCACTGCGATCAACGGTTTGCTCAGAGACGCAACTTGACGACACACATGCGAACGCACACGGGAGAGAGACCGTTCAAATGCGATCTGTGTAGCGCAGCATTCGCTCAGCGCCGCAACTTGAAGGCACATGCCAGAGTTCATGCAAGTCGGAATTCATAGACATGCTGTATTAGTCACTTATTACTGTAACTGAACTCATTACAAAAAAATTAACGCACGATAAGACGCACAGAAGAAAATCACAGGCATAAAGCGGTGTGCACAGCGTGGGTCAGGTTTCTCTCTGCTACACACATGGGGTGGTTCTTTATGCGCTGTTTTTGGGTAATGCAGAAGAGTGCGTATGCTGTCTCAGTGGGATTGTTAGTCAGGTAACTGGTGTGTAAACACAATTATTTAAAAAGTAGAAAACACGAACATCTGACGTTTCTAAAGAGATGTAAAAGTGTATCTATGAACGTCCAAAGCATGACGTTCTTTGCTTGTGTTGCAGTCATCGTAGCTTTAATCGGTTTATATTGGTTAATATTGCTCTCGAATTCGTGTTATCTTCCTTGTAGTATCACTAAATGACGTGTCCACAAGTGTTTGCCACTGCCTCATTTATAGTTCAGCTACAGTATGTATATATTATATATATATAGCAGGATTGTGTGTAATGATGCAATGATGCCGTTTTATTGCAATATTTAGTGTTAGGAGGGCTCTCTTATAGGACCTGGTGTAATTCTATTCATGTAGCACTGAACATTGTATTACCGTGGGTGTACAACTATAACACGTAATTCCTCTTATTAGTTTAGCAATAGTTCTATATTAGGAATGAATAAAAACAAATCTTTTATTTGCTTTTATTCATGCCTGATGTCGTGATGGTTTTGGTGGAGACAGTTACTGATGAGGTTAGTGACAAAATAACCTGTATTTCTCACAGTGTATTGACGTGCCATGCCCACTTTGTATTATCTTACTACTGTATGTTTAATGAAGTCGACTGCTTTTGTAGAATGTGTAGGAATTCGTACCGTGTAACACTATATTGTGCATGCACTGATATTCTAGTGATCATATTCATTGATGGATTATTAATTGTAGATCTATAGAATGAACGTTTGCATGGTGCTCTGCCCTCTGAACCAGTTAAGTGGCAAATACCTGGCATTAACGCTGTTGCTGTGTGTTTCTTGGAGCATACCAGCAATATCTGCACTGTACGTATATTAGCTGACAGGTTATAGTCAGGTATGGAGCAAGTAGATTTGCTCTAACATCCTGTTTTCCAGTCTTGGAAATAAGTCTTGAAAACTGGGCCAGTACTGGTTTAGAAATGTTCACTAGATTTCTGCTATACAACCTATAGTAAAATCCATGAAAATACTGAGTAAATTTACTAGTCCCAGCCTGGCGGACGGGCTCCTATATACAATATTGTGTTCTGTCTCGCTGTCTCTGCATGAATAGACAGGTCCAATTGTTTGCAAGAGCAGTAGAAATGTGAATAACCTGTACTGAATTTGCTGTAGTTGATACTCTTCACGGACATTCAATAATCAAAGTCTGCTGAGGATGCAAATTAGAACTAGTGCGTGATAAATTAAAAAGAGTCATATGAATGTGGCCCATGTGAAGTGTCAAAGTATTATTAGCTCTTGCACATGCTGCGAACAAATGTACATGTAGTGTGTTCTGTTGTGAGGTGATTGTATCTTTTTTTTATATAATGCAATTGTCGATTAATGTTGCGATACAATGGGCTAAGAACCATTTTCGGTAACATATTTCTGCAAAGCCAACATTTCGGGGTGCATGCTTGTGAACCCACATACAAATCGTGTGAGTTACACGGAACTAGCAACAATATCAAGCGTTGGTGTGTTATCCTGTTATCTTACTCAGTTGCAAGAACACAAACCCTAAACAAACGTTTTATGTGCACTTGATACTCTTGATATGGTATGTAGTACAAAATAGGTTAGCTGTAAACAGGAGCAGAGTCTTGTGTGCTTCCGTATAGAACTCGATGAATAAATGTCAATAAATCGCTCGGAAAAAATTTACAAATAAACTCTGTACTGACGTTCAATTTCACGTTCAATTTTATTACTGTATACATTTTCCATTACTCGTATATTTCTCTTAACGTTACTCAATCAAGTTCTATCTCTTGGAATTGCCTCGCAGTGTGTGGGTCTGCAAGCAGCAATGTCCTTGTGAGAAATCGTGGTTCTGCTGGAATGTAAACTGTTCACAGTGGGTATGTTGCAGGTCACCCCCAAGTGAAACTTCATTCGATGTTTATTCTCCCGATTTACGCCGCGTTCATATAACCGGGTCATTGAAACCATGAACGATACCCGTAATATTTCTGCTTTCACATCCAATTTCAGTTAAACCGTGCACACCACATGACAATTTTCACAGTGTGTTAGTAGTAGCAGCAGCAGAAAATGGGAGCAAGTTAAAAAAAATTCGTAGCGACCACAGGAGGCAGCACTGGCCACGACACGGTCGTTAGGTTGACTCGCGCCCCCACTTCTCCATGAAGTCGCTCCCCGAGTCTCGTTCCCTGACCGCCTGCTTGAAGCCGACCTTGTGAGCACGCTCCTGGAACGCGACGCCCTCTGGTGTGTGCCGCGACATGCCGTCGAAAATCGTCGCCATGCGCTGCGTCGACAGCAGGCCCATCTGCTCGACGGCGTGGTTGATCACCTGCTTCTGAAACCACAGCTGATTGGTCGGCACGGTGACGATGCGCTCGAGGATGCGACCGACGGCGCCATCTACGTCGGCGCGCGGCACGCTCTCGCCGACGAGACCGACGGCGGCCGCCTGCGTTCCACTCAAGAGGGCGCCGGTGAGCAGCAGCCGCTTCGCCTGCTCGAGTCCAACCCGGTACAGCCACATCGCCGTCGTCGGGCACCCCCAGACGCGCGCCGGCGGGTACCCGATGCGCGCATCGTCCGCCATGACGGTCACGTCGCAGCAGAGCGCGATGTCGCTGCCGCCGCCGATTGCGGCGCCCTCTATCTTGCAGACGACGGGCTTCGGGCAGCGCCACAGCGACATGAACGCGTCCGTGCAGCGCGACATGAGCGCGTAGTCGACGTACGGGTCCCACGGCATGCGCTGGCTGCCGGGCACGGTCCCGCGCTCCGCCTCCGCGTACACCTTCAGGTCGTAGCCAGCGCAGAAGTTGCCGCCGGCGCCGGAGAGGAGGACGGCGCGCACGCGGGGGTCGGCGGCGGCGCGCGCCGCGGCCGACGCGATCTCGGCCGGCATGCGCTCGTCGATTGCGTTCAGCCGCTCAGGACGATTCAGCGTCACGTGCGCCACCTGCTGGTCGACGCGGTATAGGATCGACGAAAACGGCTGCTCGTCCCCCCGGGGGGCGCCACTGTCGCTGCCGGCGGAGCAGGCCCACCTGCACGTCGCGCACCAGGCGCCGCTTGTTTGACGGCGCGACGCCGCTCGAGCGGCAGCGGACAGCATGCTGCTGCGAGAGTGGACGACATCAGGGGTGAATGATGACAAAGCGAATGTGAACGTGAACATTTGTCATTATTCACCGGTGATGACATGTAGGAGAAAAGACATAATGATAACATGATCATCGAATATAATGATAATATATAATCATAATATATCATGATAATACAATGATAACATGATGAGCTGCAGTGAAGGTTAGTACAAGGGCTTTAGATAGTAACACTGCACTGTCATAACCACATATGAATACTAACATGATAATGGTGACAGATGCACCATAAATTGTTGCTAATGTCGGCACAGTGTGGGCAGTTATAGGCATTAGGTCCTTGTGCGATCTAACTGTACCCGTGTTGCCCCTTCGCTCCCACGACAAGATACCTGTACCTGTAGCGGGGAGCAAAAAGGCTACACCGTTACAGCTCAGTGCAATCCTACTTTAGGATCCTGAATTTCAATGATGGACTTAGGATGAATTAGCTCCACAGGGTAGAGCGGAGGGATACACTGGTGGAGAAGAGTCCTGACCAAGCTACGAGACCAACGTCACATGCAATAATGCCAGGACTAACGTCTTTCGAGGTATGACCGTTGTTTGGAGCTAGTGAAAGCTGAGGATAATAATGCTCAGGCTCTTCTACCTAGCTACACATTGATTTTTACATTTATACTGGGTATCTACAATTCTTTTTGTACAGTATACCCTGTATAAAATGTATATAGTTTTTCCAAACGTTAAAAACAATATGACACGGTTAAACCTGAGTGGTGCGACGAGGCTGTACTGCTGTTTGCATGACTAGTAAGTATACTACGATGTGCTTTGCAGCTACAGTGACTTATGTGTGTTAAAACTTGAGACAATTATTATTATTTACTGTATAATTCAACATGATATATTACCTAAATCTTCTTAATATTATTTTAAAACAGTATAGTGATCGTTTGTTAACTACCACTCAGTGATACTTTATTGTTTACATCCAAACGTGAAATGCGCGGGATGTGCGAATTACTCCACAACCTAGTGCACGTGAACAGTGAGCGTGCTGCACGACCCGTGCACGTAAATAAACCCTGGCCAACACAATATTGTAAGGTTCACTACCACTGGCCAAAAGTAAGCTCCACCCACTTCTTATCGATTTTTGGTATGCCAACGCTGCTACTGGATTCAGGAACCTGTCCTAACCTGTGCGTCCGAACATCCCACACACGTAATTCTTGAATGCCAAATAAAGTTTGGCCATACCCTGCTTTTATCATTATGTTAGCAAGCATACATTAAGACAATGATACGAGTAGAAGCGCTCCGGATAGTTACCGAGTCACAGTGTGTTCACATACACATGTACGCGATCGTCAGAGACCACGGAGGTATTCTTACCCCCCAAAAAAATTCTCCTCGAATTTACACTGATCTCAAAAATGGTCTCTGGAGTTATAAAATGGGCGGAAATCCGCTGAACGGCGGAAAAGTCTCATGCCTGTATAATATATCATTACAATGGCGACACAGCACACTCACAGCGGCTAGTTAAATTTGTTATTTTTACTTATTTTTTCATTTATTTTTAATTTTAATTTTAACTCTAAACAGCGTTTTTTTTTTACAAATGTGCACTATGGCCATGCATTTGTTTAACGCTTTATAGGTATTTCACATTAACCATGTACATCAGGTTTATTAGCTCAGCTGACGAAGTCAGATGCAGCTTGTAGAATCGCGTGATTGTCCGTCCGTCCGTCCGTGCGTCAACAGTTGGGCACAAATCTTAACCGCTCGACGTACGGTCTTGATATTCGGGACGACGGGGGGATCGCGAAAAGGACTCGGGATGTCGAATTTGTGGGTCAAGGGTCAAACGTCGAGATGTGTCAATGCCAATGGAGGGGGAATATTTCCCCCTTAACTTAAGTTACACAGCTATATCTTTATTACTGTACTACCGGTATAGCAAAACCTATCAATGCGGTGGCGGGAGGGCGTACTTGATTCGGTTGCCAGTGAGTTTATCAGAAGAATACCCGGCTACAGTACAAGTCAGTTGAGCGCTGTCGCTCTGCTGCACTTGTTACTTATTATTGCTGCTGAAGGGGTTGAATAGCGATTGGATGATTGGTTGAAATATCGCGCCTGCATGTGTGCCTGCGTGCACTGTAGAACGAACGACCCGTAGGACCAGTGACCCGTATAGGACCAACGACCCGTAGGACCAGTGACCCGTATAGGACCAACGACCCGTAGGACCAGTGACCCGTATAGGACCAACGACCCGTAGGACTATAGAACGGTAATCGTCCCAAGTCGTATATTTCTTGTAAACGAACATTATTTACGAACTTCAAACGGCAATTTTTGGTGCGCGCCCGTCAGCAGGAACTATGTATTTCCGCACGTGGAGGTGTGGGCGGGTTGTGTCGGTTATGGACAAAAACATTGTTGTTGTCAAGTAACAAATTAAGCGATCAAAAAAGATGGTACGTAATATTAGTTTTGTCATGAAAGATGAACAAATTACTATTATTAATTTGTTACTTGACAACAACGTTTTTGTCCACAACCAACACAACCCGCCCACCCCTCATAAATAGTTCCCGCCGACTGGCTGAAGTTGGTCCCGAGCATTCGTAATAGAATATTCTATAGGCATAGTCCTGCGGCAGCTGTACGTGGGCTATAGTACTAGAGCTATGATGAATAATGGTGATGATGAAGATGATTTATGTGCCAGTATATCAAAGTAGGAATAACAAGCCCCTTGGGGGGGGGGTCAATCCTACATTGGAACCAATTTTAAAATCCAAGCTCATAAACGAGGCTCGAACAAATAGTACGGACTCACCTACTCACTCTACAGACTACTGGGACGTTTGGAGTCAGCCTAGTAGTAGCGGTCATTTTTCGATATATCGGAATGTACCCTGCATGGTAACTATCTGATATGGTTAGGGTTATGGTTAAGGTTAGGGAGTAGCGCGTAGGCGACTCCCTAGACTCGTTAGTGGAGTAGGCGAGGTACGGTCTGGCATATTAGATCACAGGCACTTGAAGTGTTTCAATAAAATATAATGCTAAATAAATACGAAATCTATTTACTACCAAATTCTTAATGTTTCTATACTCTCTTTCACCTATTATTGCCGACAGTTGCCTGTAAATTCCGTCCAAATCCTATGTACAACCTTGTCTGTTGTACATAGGATTTGGACGGAATTTACAGGTAACTGTCGGCAATAATAGGTGAAAGAGAGTATAGAAACATTAAGAATTTGGTAGTAAATAGATTTCGTATTTATTTAGCATTATATTTTATTGAAACACTTCAAGTGCCTGTGTATTAGATAGTAGTAGTACAAGGTACGTTCCGATATATCGAACCGTACCCAGGGTACCAGGGTTCTCCCTACCGTTGGGAAAACTCCCCCCTGTTTCAATTTCATCCTGGGGAGAACCCTGGGTACCCTCCGATAGTATCCTGGGGGACATAGACCCTCTCAGCAGTAGTAGCTATTACTATTACGTGTTAGTATTACTATTGCTCATAGGGTCTATGTCCCCCAGGGTACTGCCGGAACGTACCCTGGGTACGGTCCGGTATACCGGAACGTACCTTGGTAACTATCTAGCTGATATGGTTAGGGATATGGTTATACTTATGGTTAGGGTTAGGGTTAGAGTTACTCAGTTAGGGTTGGGGTTAGGGAGTAGGCGTAGGCGACTCGCTAGACTCGTTAGTGGAGTAAGCGAGGTACAGTCCGGCATATTAGATAGTAGTATTTAGTGCCAGGGTACGTTCCGGCAGTACCCTGGGGGACATAGAGACCCCATCAGCATTAGTAGTCGCTAGCGGCTAGTAATACTAATGACGGTTCAAGGATAGAGAACATGGGGCCCCTTGAAACCTATGTCATTTTCGTAAATGTGGGGGTAGCCCCTTTAAAATCGACAGGGGTACTGGTGAGGGTGTTCTTTGTTCATTTCAACCGATAAACATGATGTGAGTTAACAGGAAGTGTCGAAAAAAATGCGTTGAAGCGACCCTACTCGCCCGTTTTCGGCCGTTTGTGACCATTGGCATTGCGACGCGCGAGCATTTCCCGTCACCTTCCTCTGCTACTGCTAGGGCACCGAAGCAATCTACATGCACCACAGAACGACGCAAATATTTACATGTACTATAAAATAATGCACAACTACAATGACGAGTTTTGCCGCTTAATTTGCTACAAACTCCCGGTACAAACATACGTAAGTTGCATCTATAATGGTAGCTCTAGTACTATAGCCCGCTTAGCTACTATAATGGTTGCATCACACAAGCGTGTTCACATGAAAAGAATTTATGACAAACAGCGCCACCTGCCGAATAAATAGTTAAAAGTTAATACTAATGTACCAGGGCAATGCCAGAATATATAGCCTTTTATTTTATTTCAGTCTTCTGTATAAGGAGTACGTATTGAAGGGGAAAATACTGAGTTGTAGGAATGATACGCAAGCAGTAAGCAAATGAGACGTGAAGATTGAAAAGGTGATCGCTGGGAGCATAATAAGCTGGAAGATAGGGGAGGGAGGAGGTGCGCATGGCGCCCAGGAGGGATATTTAGCTCTTTGGGTGGAAGAAAGGCCTGGGGTATTTGAAAAGCTGTTGTTTGTGGCCTGTTGAGTCCATCAATTAAAGCTGCTGCTGCTGCTGTTGATAAATTCATTTGTGCATAGTAAGACGTCCTATACATACGTACATTAAACCTAGGGTCCCTATATACAGGTGGCGTACAACGTTGCACTATTTCGTCTCTAGAAATCGTCTCTAGGCATGTATATCGCCGAGTAGTCTCTGTATACCTGTATACGTATGTGTGTAACCGCGCATTTTGTAGAGTCGGTAGCTTTAGATTCTTTTGGAATGCTGTTGTTTATTGACACATTTACATCATATTCAGAGAGTTGGACAAGTGTGATTTCAATACAACATGAATGATTACACTACATCCTACGTAACAAACAACAAACATAACACGTCCGATCTTGTAAGTTGTTGCATGCAGGTCGGGCAAGA